CCCGCCGGGGCTCGCTGCCCTCCCCCCGGGGGCTCCGGCCGCCCTCCCTCCCCCGCAGGTGTGTGTGTGGGGGGGGCGGCCGGAGGCTTTTTTGCCTGGGGCGGCAAAAAAGCCAGAGCCGGTCCTGCTCCCAGTGAAAACATTTCTAATTTCCACCGGTCACATTTTGTACTAAGTAATGTCACGTATACACCCCCTTTCATCCCAAAGGATCCACTGGGGTCATTCATCAGTAGACTGGGACCCAGGAGATGTGGCTTCAATTCCTGGTTCTGCCACAGACTCCCCCTGACTCGTTGGGCAAATCAACTGACCCCTCTAACTTTGTCCAGCCTAGGATTTAAGGGTGCGTTGTTAGAATGTGTAACTAATATGTTCTAAAAGTCTAGCATAGAGAAGGCAGTGTAGACTTTATGTGCTAAATTTGTCAAGTTAAAACCTAGAGGGGATTCTTTTAGGGGAGAGAAAGAGCAGCCGACAGTCATGGCAATCTTTAGTTTCATTGTGGAATGATCTAGCTCTGTCCTGAAGTACACCAGCTTCTCATTTCAAAGGCCTGCAGTCCATTACAGACCATTTGATATAATCAAAACGATGTGGAGAAAGGTTAAAAAAATACCCCATTTATACGATAGCATCTTAGACAGGCCTTAGGTCAGTTATAGTAACAATGTGTGCCTCTGCCTATGGTTTTCCATCAGATGCTGTTGGCATGGTTGGAGAAAAAATAAAGGACTTTCAGAATGATGATAAATAATGTGCACACATGTGCATGCACAGACACACAAAATAATAGAGCTAAAATAAAACATCTTTAATATATTTTAACAGGCTTATAAACACCTAGAAGAGACTCTCTTTCCTGTGCCAATAATTATATAGTATAACAGCAGCTGCAGTTGTACAGCCATAAGATTCTTAGAGAATACAGCCATTTTGTGGATGGCAGTATTCACAAAACATTCCATTTGGTTGGATAATAAATAATAATCAGAGCCAACAATTTGTAAAACTAACAAGCCCCTGACAAACCAATTAAAAAAAAAACAGCTGAAGGAAATATTCTGTTTTCAATGAAAGCATGTACAGGGCACATACATTAATTCTTGGTGCCAAATGAAAAATTATAGAAACTGAATACCAGAATTAACTTGTCATTTTAACACTGGAACTTAATTATTTTTAATTGTATAGCAGCATTGGGGGCGGGGGTGGGGAAGGATGATAAGTTTATTAAAATGCTGAAGTGTGCCAAAGCAAAGTAAGATTTGTCTTGCCCACACCTTCCAGAAACAAATGCCCAGACATAAAAATACAAACTGCTGCTTACCGTCAGTGTTTGGTCATCCTTGTCCCCAGCATTAGGTGGCTGCATGCATGGGGGGAAAAAAAGAAATGTCACATGGTGCATGCATACATTTTCAGAGAAGAACATCAAACAATTGAAGAGACAGCTAAACAGCAAGTACTTGTGTACTGAGTGACATAGATTCTATGGGCTAGAATGTGATTTCACAGCTCTGGAACTATGTGATGTTAAAGACCTTAAATATTCTGTAGGTACTAGGTAATAGTGGATTCTTTTGAAAAGTTCAAGCTGAAATGCTCCTGAAACCTCTTATCTTTGCCTCTGATATGTCACTGAATTTCAGGGTCTCAATTATAGCCAATGGGCTAAATCTTGAAGTCCTCATTTTTTATACAGTCTTTAGTGAGGCAAACTCACATTGGCTTTGATGGGAGTTTGCCTGAATGTTGAGTGTAGTAAACTCAGTAAGATCATCAAGGTTGGACCATTATTGATAATGATTCCAAATGATGATCTTGATATCTTAAAAAAAGAAGTTATGAGTCATTATATAAGCTTATTTTTTTAAACACCCATCTTAATGGGACTCAGCAAAATGCCATGTAGCCCTAATTGACAGGATCAAACAGTTAAGAGCAGACAACATGGCAGCAGAGTATTGCCCTCCCATGTACAAGAATCAGGCTCTGGGGTGAATTTTGAAAACATTGCAAACTACAAAATAGGTGACTTGTGTCTCACAGATATTCTTTCACTCTTCTGAGCACAATAATGGCAAGACAATGACATTTATAGGATGAAAAACTGGGGAAGACTTTGGGTTTCTCTGCAAACAAGTCGAAGTAGCGATCCCTAACCAATATTATATGCCTGGGTTGTTGTGATGAACAAAAGATGTATTAGTGATGGTAGCCTGGATGTTTTGTGGCACCACAGAACTATGTTTCTATAAATATTTTTGGGAGGATTGTGATAATGGACAATAAACAGAGTCATAATGTTTTCTTAAATATGCTGAAGCCCACAATACAGTGTTAATTCACCAGAAAATACACACAAAAGCACCAGTGAACTATGATTAATAAAACCTTGCATACTCTACCTGTGTTACAGTCAACCTCATGTGATTATGCCCCTTCCCTCAAAAAGCAGTGTTGTAAACCATTTCCTCCATACTAAGCTTTCTTTCTTTCTATCAAACAGCTCAACAAATGGTGCTGTATTCTACAGCATAATCCCTAGGGGGAATTATCCAGTGCAATGAGCGTAGCTTTTTGACACACATCGAGATTAACTGTTAACACGCCTTTTCAGTTAGCGAATTTAACCTTGGGGGTTAAGTAGAAGAGAAATAATTATGAGCAAATACTGATACTGAAGCAGTTCATTTTTGTTCCACAGTGAGCAGAGGAAGCACAGGACTTAATTCTTTATGTCCAAAATGTCCCCAGCTGAGAACATCAATTTGAAGAAATGATTATGTGAGAAAAGACTATCTTTTGGTCTGTAATGGATTCCCCCCTATCTCTCAAGCCAGGCTGACTCAGTGCAAACAACAACTGGGAAATAGCACCTGGGGAGAGAGCTTTTATTAGAACTTAAAAAAAAAGATAAGAAAAGAAAATTTCTGCAGTAAAAGGTCAACAAAATATGCTCATTTATCCTTAGACAGTATTTTGATGAGTATTGTTTAATAATGGTGTGTACATATATGTATACATATATAAATTCTATAAATATATATGTACACATATATTAGTCACATATACTTTCAGGGGTTGTTATTGTATTATTCCTTCCCCACAAATCTGATCTGTGTTCATACGGGGGAAAATGCACTCTAAGGTGAAATTTTCACCTAAACAGGGATCAGCCCAAGACCACTTAAATAGCTCTTAAGCCCCCAAAATAGTCTCATTGAGTTCAGTGGGTCTAACCATGTGAGTCAAGTTACTCTTATGTGTAAGTGTTTGAAAGACTGGGTCCTTAATATGGATGATAAAAATGATCAACAAAGGCTTTTGTATTTGAGGAGATATGTGGTCCAGTCCATATCTTGCATTTTGAAAAAAGATCCAACCAAGGATGAGAAAATATTACTGAGTTTTAGCCACTTATTGGACATGATCTTGCAAGGTGCAGAGCACCCTCAACTCCCATTAAAGTCAATAAGAGCTGAGAGTGATCAGTACGTCTCAGAAGCACCTACCACTTTGTAGGATCAATACATAATCCTATCCAACACCCCTTCAAATCAGTGGAAAGACTGCCAATGGCTTTAATGGGAGCTGGATCACGTCAGGTAGGTATATTAAGATAAACAACTACCTTGCTTAAAAGAAAATTTATAGCCTGTACATTTTAATTTGTACAAGATAATCATTGAAGTAAACAGAAATACTGGATTTTGGCAATACATATTCCATTTATATTTTTAAAAAAGATTTCAGTAGGATGGAAATACACTTCTGAAATGACAAAGGTATTCTCTCTTTCTACTACTGCAATATGAAATATAAAACTGTTAAATGGATATTTTTTCAAATGTGGTAAATAATATATTTGTTCCTGTGCTGAAACCTTGTATATCAAGTTGCATTGCAGAAGAAATATTCATGACAAAAATATAAATAGACGTTTAGGAAGAAGATGCTCACACAAACATTAACAGCAGAAATGCAAACAGTGGGCCCACATTTGAGTTACTGAACACCATCAGTTTCCATGGACTTCAGTGGTAGGTAGGACATTTCACATCTTGCAGGATTGGATCCAGTGTCTCTAAGCCTTGTACAACCGAGCATACTTTTTGGACCTGATCCTGCAAATACTTATACACATGACTAACTTTATTCACATCAGTGCTTCCACAGAGCTCAGATATTTTTGTTAATTATTTTAAAACCTCTTAATCTATTTTATATTAATTATAAACTCTTTAATACTGCAGTGCAAGCACAATTAGTTCAAATTGATGACTGACATGAATAAAGCTTTTTATAAACTCCAAATGATATCAAACAGGCTATCTGTATTTGTGTTGTACAGCATATGAGCCAAAAAACATAAATCTAATGGAAAACGATTACACCAATATAATATTTCTGTTTGAAAAAATATTTTTGAATTGACTACTAGTGTTAATGTTAAAGAGACACTGTCAACTAAAAATCACATATTGCATAGAAGCAAATTTTATTATTTGTTATAATAATGTCTTAAAATCAAATATATTTGTCACTACTTATGCCCTATTTTTACCTTTTTGTTTTTTGTGTTTTTTTTTAGTTTGGACAATGAAAAATCAGCTAATCCCATTTTTCTTTTGTTTCCAGCCAGTTTCACATTCAGGTTCTCAGTGCTGCAGCATTTGGATTTTGAAAACTTCAGGAGAATATTTACATTCAAAAATATTGTTTTCATTGGATTATCCTAATTGGAGAAGCCTATTTTTATTAGTCTTAGGTTTTATAAAGCTTACGTATTTAATATAAAATTTAAAATTTGGCCCAAATTTAAATCGATTATGTCCCTTTAAACCAACTCTGAATACAGTTTTTTGTACATAGCTACAATGATATTAATCTTTTCTTTAGAAAACAAACGTTCTGTACAGGAATGTGTGCGCTTTTATCAGGACAATCACCACATATTAGCTCCTTTTTAAACTGCTATTTCCATCCTTTTGTTTTGACTTTTTAATTTCTGCATTGCAGATAGTTCTAGAACAGATACTAGGAGATGAGCACCATACTCTTTGTAATTTCACATCATAATTAACTTACAGCTGTTGATAGTTTTTATAGTATTGCAAAATACATACAATTGCATTGTGATATAGTATCCAGTGGACCATACCTTATTGTGCTTACACAATAGTATTCTTCTATCTTCATATCCATATGATCGTTAAATCTGCAAGGTTTTTCATACCTGACCTTAGAGCCCCGAGCATTTATTTCAGGAACAATCCCATATCTTTCCTGCTTGCTATTAAGGCTGGAACATTGGAAGCCCTCCAATACCTATCCCTATGTCTACACTACCACTTATGTTGGTATAATTTATGTTGCTCAGGGGTGTGAATAATCCACCCCCCGAGCGACATACATTACACCAACAGAAGCGCCAGCATGGACAGTGCCTTGTTGGTGGGAGAGCTTCTGACCTAGCTACTGCCACTCATTGGGGGTGGATTAATTAAGTCAATGGGAGAGCTCTCTCCAGTCGGCTTAGAGTGGCTACATATTTCATAGATAAAGCTTTATATCCATTTTTCAATTTTTTTGGTTTAGCCTCTTACTTTAAAAACATCTAAACAAATACCCTTACATGATGGTACCATAAATACCTTCACCATCTGGTATAACACTGTTTGACAAAAATCTGATAGTGATCCATGTAGATATTAAATCTGATACTCAGTGGGAACAGCCTGTCCAGAATGCCAAACTGACTGAGATTATCCATCACCTCTCTCCCTGAAACGCCAACGTCCAAGGAACTGACTCAAATTACATAAACTGTTAGCAAATACTTTTCAACAGAGGAACAAGGGAAGGGGAAGAGCAAAAGCATAGCCTTACTTCCACCTGCCCTTACTCACCTCCTTCTCATGCATTATGGTTAACCAGAACCTGTCTATAACTGTGACATAGTTTAGTTAGACCCAAAATTGACATTAAAGTCCATGTAATTCTTTTTTTAAAATAATTTTGATTGTTCCTAACTACAAATAATAAAAATATAAATAATGATTTATTGTACTTTCCCTCTAAGAAAAAACAATGTCCATACACGAGTAACATACTGGCTGGAAATCTGTGCAGTGAACAATCTGTGTAATCCACAGATGGCATTGTTCCTCTCAGAAAATATTTTTCCCAAAGAATGGGCCAAATTTTGAAGAATTCTCACCAAACAGCTACATATTCTTGCAGGACTAATGAACCCTCATGAGGATTCTCCCAAAAGCTTAGTGCCCAGGCCTGATGATCAGTATTCTCATAGTTCTCTTTGGTCTAGTAGTTGAGCTGTCAGGGTGAACATCTATCTCTATATTATCAATCTATGCATTTAAACCACACTAAACATCGTCCTATCTGGACACCACCACCCTCCAGATCTCCATCATTTGTGGGGATCATTTCCAGGAGTGGGGAGAGAAGATGATGCGGAAGAAGGATGGAGAGCTAGGAAGACAGTAGCTCACTGTTGAACTAGTCGCTCCTGCCACCAACATGCCCACACGATAGCTTGGTGCAAAGTTAATGCACAGTGGATCAGCAAGGAACGTATATGAGTTCCCAACCTACTCATTCAGTGAGGCCTTCTCTAAAGAGGTGTTTGGGGTGCAACAACAGTTGGCAAGGCCATGGAAATAAGGGAAGAGCCAAACTGCCATGGGGTGAGGTGGTGGAAGACAGTTAAAGGGCACAACACCTCCATACGGATTTCTCTGGCTTCCAGTGAGTCTTGGGGAAGCTTCAAGTTTTGGGACCTGAACCCTCTGCCACTCCAGAGAGAAGGGATGGCTCTGGCTTCTAACAGATCTCAGAGAATCTTCAATTGCTATCCCTTCCAGAAGAATGGTAAGTAAATCCATGAGTGAGTTTCTTCTCCCATACACAGGAATAACGAACCCATAAGTAGTAAATGGGGCTGCTCCTGCTTCCCTTGAAATCTGTGGGAGTCCTTGCATTGACTTCAGTGGGAGCTGGATTGGGCCCAAAATTTGTACAGAGTTTTGAACATAAGTGCAAAAAATCACCATCATCAATAAAAGACACCTGGGAACTTCAATTCTTTATCAGATGATATCTTTCCAATTCACTCCAAAATCAAAATCAAGTATGCATCTGGATTTGGTTTAATTTTTTTAGGAATATATGCTTAATGAACTGTGACAATTAGACAATTGTACAGTCCCACTCTTCGTCCCAAACACAAACTAATTACAAATCAGATTAGGCATTCAATTCAGTTCGTTCAGCACCAGGTTATGGTATCAAACAGTGAAAGACAGAAGTGTAATTGGCTTTCAACATCCTGTTTAAAGTTTGGACACAAAAATTGTAAACAGCTTTCCAGTAGTGGCCTCACCAATTAAAAGGTAATGATCAAATCCCTGCTCCTATTTGATGGCCAAGGATAGGCTAGTTTTTATGAGCTGTCAGGCTGTGATTCAGCTCTTTAGGTGAAAGGATATTATACAAGTTTGACATGTCTTTTCTTTTATCTTAAATATTTTTCAAAACATTATAATAAATTAAAAGAGATTAATGATTGACTGGATGAGCCATCACTGGAAGTAAGGAAAGTACATTATGTGCATTGACTGGTAGAGTATAGTGCATTACAAACTGTATTTAAACTCTGTAATCTGGTTTCTCTGATTATTTTTCTGATATAGAATGTGGGGCCAAGTTAGGGGCTTTACAAAGAAGTTGTCCCAGGTATATTTTATAGGTACATATATTTTTATGGATGTCTTCTTGCATTGCTTTTCATAAGTAGCATATGGCTCATTGCAATTATACAGGTATCAGTAAGTCACTGTTTGTCGGCTCTGAAGAAAATTATAAAAGGCAGTTATTTTAGGATGGAAGGTACCCAAACGTCCTTTAGGCTCCCTTAGACATACTCACTTATTTAGACTCCTTCAGACTTACAGACCACATTCACAGGTGTTCTGTAATTGTGGGTGGGTATCTTCTCAATGATCCTCACATACCCACTCTTCTAATGCCAAAGGGAGTCTAAGTGAGTGTAGTTTACATGCCAAAAAGCTGGAAGGTGTAATTTATAATGATCCTAACCTACTTTAACTTAAACCTTCTGCTGAATGCTCAGGCTGAAATCCTGGCCCCACTGAAGTCAATGGAAGATTTGCCACCCTCAATACGTAAATTACATAGGATTTCACTCTCAGTATGTAAATTACACTTCCTTAGACTGTTACTCTCAGTCTAAGGGAATTAGGTAACTGAGAAGGAGTGTGAGTATGAGGTGTTCTTTCTTACATATCATCCGGTCTAAATTAAACATCACCTGAATGTGGCCTGTTAGAATCCAAAGCAAATCCAAAGCAAATTAAGAAAAGAGCTGGAGAAGCTAAAGCTCCCCTTTTTACAGGAGGGCTTCTCAAGGGAGAAAACATCTTTACTCTATGAATTAATACATTAAGTTTCACAAGGGCTGTTTCCTGAATTTAGTTGAGCTTACAAGCCTGCTTTATTCACGCCCATCAAGAAATTTCTGAAGCGAATCCTGACCCTGAACAAATATTGAGACAAATTTTCAAATTTGGGTGCATAATTGCATCTGCAAAATGTGTGTACATTTCTGTTTTGTCAGAAGTCTCAGCTCTATGCATATCTAAAGGGTTTTATGCCTTCAAATCAGGTATTTTCTAAATACCAGTTTGTTCATGCAATTACCCAGTGTGTGTGCACAAATTGAATCTTATCATAGATATATTAAGGAATTGCATCTTTGTTAATTTGAGAATGACAAATAAGTGGCTTAAAGATAAATCAGCTGTTAAATCACATTCTAGTCTGAGGCCAGTTGCTTTAGATCCAAATTTTGAGACATTTACTCATGTGAAATAGTACCTTACTCCCCCAGTCGGTCAATGGGACCACTCCTGGAGTAAGTACCTACTGAACAGGAGTAAGAGTTTAAATCTGGCCCACTTGTCTTAACTGCTCTGAACTTACTAAAAATCAGGTATCCTTGATATTTGGTTTAGGAGAGCAATGTAATAGCACAATAATA